CCTTGGGACACGGTCGAACGCCTTCTCCAAGTCCACAAAACACATGTAGATTGGTTGGGCGAACTCCCATGCACCCTCCAGGACCCTGTATTTATTTAATTATTTATTTATTGGTTTACAGTGCCCTGAGATAACAGTTGGTGTCACTTGGCGCTATATACAGTATGAATAAACTGAATTGAATTGAATTGTAATGAAACRAAAAACACAATTCCAAACTGAATTTCTTTATTTCACATGAAACCATTTACTTGACACAACTGCAGCTCTCCCACTTTAACAGTTTAATGATTTTTCTCCCAGCAGGTGACGTCACAGCAACAAAACTGAATGAGCTTAACTATCTGGAAGTTTCTGACAAACACATAAAAATAAGTTAAATAGTTTTTAGAGAACATAGCGGTTCTTAGCCTCATGTAAAATATTAGTCAAAAGTAACATTCATTTATATTAAAATTATTTCTTTAAATGCCATTCTCTTAAAAATACATTTGTCTTATTTAAATGGGTTAAAATAACTGACTTTGACACCAGTGAGTTGACACTTACTGCGTGCCAGAACTTCTTTTTTCTTTTCTGCATTTCCTCCAACTAAGAAACTTCCTCTTAAAGAGAAGTTTCATTGCAACATTTTACATTTCCTCATTTCACAGCTTAGTCTGAAAATACTCTGATAACATCTGTCCCTTTAGCTTCTCTGCATACTGACATAAAAGTGATTAAATTAGACATCAGGCACTAATACTGATAAAAACAAGCTCAGTTTGGATACATTACAGAACAAATACAGAGTTCTGATGAAAGCARCTGGATTTTTTTATTATCCTTGAASATGTTTCACTTCRTCTRAAAGAGGTTTTTAGTTTGGATCGTGGGTTGAGAGGTTTATGTGTCGTCATCCTGACAATCCCAATAACAGGGTCATCAAAGGCACACAACCCACTGCTCCATCCTGTGAGTCATTCAAAGCATTCACACCTCTTGATGAGACCAACATGTGAGCTGTTTTGGTCACATTTGAGGTGTGTGGTTGGTTCGGAAACTAGACGAGTCGTGGGTTTTCTGTAGGCGTTAGAAAGACAGAACCCAAAGCCACTTCCTCAAGATGAATTCATCTTTTTTTTATGTTTTTGCATGAACACGTCGGTCAGTGCAGTGAGGATTGTTGGGCCCGCCCTCCTGAGGGTCATTAGGGTCTTTGTTTGCCTGGCTCACAGGAGACATGCTTTGGTCACATGAATGATTAGAGAAAATGAGGGTRTCGGGCTTAATGCCCCATTACAAATCTGAAATCTGAGACCCGCTCCTCTGGGGCAAACAAAACCCCCTAACCACCCTCAGGAGGGAGGGAGAGAGATTAATCTGCGGGTGATTTAAGCTGCATATGACGCAGTTTAAAGCTTACAACTCMACATTCTACAGTTTTAAAATGAAAAAAAYCWSCCTGWTGGGAAGTGAAACGTCTTCAAATACAAAATACGAGCCCARTTACTTTGTTCTCAAACTTTAAGGCATTGCAAATGCACTTTCCCACAATGCAACATAATTGTAACACATTGATTTCACAAGACCTGTCCTCATATGTGACCAGCAGAGTGTGGTTGGTTTGGTTACTTGGTGATTGAAGCGTAGAGGCTGCTGGGATCAGTGGGCGGAGCTTTCACAGTGCTGTAAGTCACAGTTTCATTGTCTTCCTCCATTTTAACCTGGAAACAAACAGAAAAAAAGATGTTACACAACTTCCCGTGATGCCAGAAGGGAGAGGAAACATTTCTTCGTACAACAGGTCACCTTGCTGTTGTTGTTGGACGTYCTGGTGTAGCTGATGGAGGCGTAGGGAACTCTATCTTCAGGGTCRTCCTGCACAGAATTAAAGGGATCCCCGATTAGTTGTAACATTAGACTTTATATGATAAACATATAATTTAACTGTACAATAAAGACTGTAAAAATACTGTAGGATGTTCAGTTTTTATAAATTTTAAACTAAAAGTTTAAAAATATATTACACGGATGGGGCCATTTTATTTATACA